CAAGAGTGTCGGCGACCGAAAATTGAGACACGTTTCGTCACTTTGAGTACGAAACGTCCCTCATTTTCTGTGTTTGGACTAACCCTCCTCCAAACACAATGCAATGAGATGGCATACACAATGCGACTAACATGCAACCTAGCATACGCAATGCTATGGGCTAAAATGGCATACACAATGCACGTGACATAACATGGCATACACAATGCGCTTACGAAGACTATCATGCGCACATGAACTAAATGGCACACACAAATGCAAGATGGACTTACACCAATATGAGTGGACCTCAGCCACACTCACATTAGTGGCCATATGATGAAAATGAGATAACCGAAATACATGCAAGTATGCACGAATGCAATGGACCGATCCTAAGGCACAACATGCAACTCTAACTAAGCATGGAAAAGGATGAAACATGACATACAAGCATACATTTTCTAGCTCTAAAACATGATGTACAATGATCCCGAATCATGCAAATATGTTACACAATGCATGCTAGATGGCTCGAATACCGAAACTAGTGAAGTGCGTTACACTATAGGTACACAAAGCAATGCACGAATGGAAAAACCAACCCCAAACAGACCCTAGGAAGGTTTGAAATAGTGGGAAAATGGCCCAAAATGATGGTTCAAAGTGCAAGGAAATGAAGCTGATTCAATGGTCCGAAAACAAGGCATTCATGCACAACTCTCAAGCACACTTAAAGAGGACGAAACATGAGGATATGACATTCACATAGGCTCTGAAATATGATGCAAAATGACCCCAAAGCATGAAAACACCTCAGTATATGCATGCAATAAACCTCAAATCTCAAAGCTAGGCAAGTGTATTGAACTACAAGCATGCAAAACAAGCATCATTCGACCATGAGACCCAAAAACAGAGCTAGGGAAGTCTAAAATATGCACAAAATTAGTTTAAGGCAAGGCCAAAAAGTGCTAAAATCAAGGGTCAACAAAGCATGCAAAATAAGCTAGTGAACCATGATTTGCACTACAACTATATGAAGCACATGAGAGCTCACCAAACCAGCCAAAAACAGAAGTATGCCATGCCAAATAATGCCCAAAAACCCACTGAAACTCAGTCAATGCATGCAAGAATGATGTGTCCCTTTGAAAGGCCAATAAGAGGGTTGTTCTACACATGCAAGATAGACATCTAATATGGAAAAACCACCTCTGGATAGAGGTCATGCAGGTCACAAAACTCATCAAAAATGGCCTGGAGCATGGCTTTGAAACATGCAAATAGGGGCTCCTTTGGAAGGCCAAGAAAGCTAGTAAAGAGAACAAAGGGTGAGAGGGTCACCCCTCTCTGATTTTGAGGCTCAAAGACACATGTTAGCCACTGAAAATCTACTGGATTTCAGTGGCTAAAATGCCAAACCAAGGCCGACACAAATGCTCTAAAGCATAGCTCAAAACATGAGGAAATGAAGCATACAAGGGGGTAGATGACCCCCAACAGAAAAATGGTCTTAAACAAACATGTTTAGAAGATAAAAACAAGACTTTTTTCAGTTTATGACAAAGCCTAAATATGCTTGCAAATAGAGCTAAACTATGAGGCAAAACAATATCAAAGAGAGGGAAATGGAGTGTTACCCTTGTAGCCAAAGGAACCAGCAACTTCTGGACCAAGATAGCAAGTCTTCAACCTCTGAAAAATGAGCTCCAAGGTGCTTGGATGGATGATGGAGAGGTTAGGCTAAGAGGTGTAGTGCAATGGTGCAAGAACAAGGGACCTTTGGAGCTAAAATGGAGAGAAATAGGGAGGGAAGTGTATGTATGCCTTGAAGCAAAATTCTGAACCAAGGCCAAGGAGGGGAGGCCCTTCCTTTATAGAGGAGAAGGTCTAAAGCTTCTCAAAGAAGCTTAAAAGCTAGGCCAAACATCCTCCATACACGTGTATGGAGGATGCACCAAATGCCTCACAGCTGGCACAACTGGAACACACTCAGAGAGAGGAAAAAGCAGATGGCTGGCCGACCAATTCAGGTGGTCGGCCGACCATGCCCCCTGGTCGGCCGACCAGGGGTCCAAAGGGTCAAGCTCAAAAGGTGGTCGGCCATCCCATATTGGTGGTCTCCCAAGTGAATGCAACTCAGTGGTGGTATAGGAGACCAGAAAATATGGCTCAAAAGTGAGGGAGACCACCTACCTATCAAGAAAATCGGCCGACCGGGGAAAGGTGCTCTCTAAGAAGAAAAGGTAGTCTCCCACCCTACTACCACCTTCCTAACAATGAAACTAGGGTCCATGCCAAAAATGAACCCACACCGATGCGAAACGAAGGTTCGGGGGCCAAAACGCGCAGCCGGGGCCCTCGAAAACTGACTATTAAGCATCGAAAGTGGCGTGCGACCACGAAGGTGGTCTCCCGGGCCACAGTGTCCCTCTATGGAATGGAAACAAGGTGTGTGCCAAAAACCAGAGCAAACGGAGGTAGTTAAGCGGTCCCAAACCGAGGCACACGGCTGACGGCTCCGAAAACCAAAAACTGGTCTCCAAACGGGAAAGATGGCCTATAACCACAAAACGTAGCCTACGGCCAATGAGAGATGGTCTACGAAACCTCTCCCTCCCTTCAGGAAGAGAAAACAGAGAAAACAGGACCTGGTTCGCAAACCGCGGCAAGGCATGAAAAGGTTCTGAAGCCCGGAGGCAAGGCTCTTAGCCGAGACTTTGCAACCTTAGAACGAGCACAATATGCAACATCACCGAGTGCTCAATTGGTGACGTCTGAGTCTTAAGGTCGGTGAAAAATGGGGTGTCTACAGTTGCCCCTCTTTGACAGAACTCGAAAGTCATAAGTGACGGGAGTGAATGTCAAAGCCCAGAGACGACCTATTTTTGACAAGGCCGAAGACTTAGACAAACAGGCAAGATAAAAGAGATGCGCTCCCAGGCATGCCCGCAGGCGGGGGGCAAATTGCAAAATGATATGCACCAAGTCGAACGTAACTCATGATCATGCAAAGCAGCAAACTGTAATAAAGCAAATATTCACAATAGATGCAACAGTTTTAAGCAAGAATGCAAAGCAATAACTACATTTCATGCAGTAAGAATGTAAGAGAATCACAATTCTCGCTACATCTCACACGAAGAAGATACAATACCTACACGGTTCGTCTAGTCGCACCAGTTTCAAATGAACCGTATTTATAATATCGTGCCTGCAAAAGAGAGAAACTTAACAAGCACAACATAGTTAGCAATATATGTTCAACACTACATCGAATGCAGACAAACATGGTGCCGATGGGAAAGTGCATCGCAATGCGAGAGAAGCGCGCGTGACAACGCAAGTTAAGCATGGAGGTATGACAATACCGGTGAAACGTGCACCATAATGTAAGCGATGTTCATGAAAATGCGAGTGGCATGCATAACAATGCTGGATGAGTGCGACTTTACGAGCATGTTTAAAACAAAAGATTGAGCAAAGAAATGCAAGCTTCGACGAGGACAACTTAAATCGCGACCTCCGATTTACCTCTTGGAAGGGTCACAACGTATTCAAAAAGGATACACCTTGCTCTCAGCGAGTAACGATGAAACACACATCGAAAGTTGGAGTTGAAGTTCCCGCGGAGGGATTTCGTGCTGAAAAGTGCACTTGTACTTTCTCGAGTGTCGGGGACTCCGATCACCACCAAAATTTGCAGGGAGCTCAATGAGGCATTAGGGACCACCTTGGGAGGGCCACCAACCAGGTTTGGAGACCACTGACCAGGTTTAGTGAAAGGGGTGGTCGACCTACCAGAAAAGGTGGTCGGCCGACCACTTTGCCAAAAACGGGGGCAGTTTTGTCCTTTTGCATTTGTTTCTTTAAATATACACAGCCAAAGCACTTTTCCTCACAACTTCAGGTCCGAAATTAGCTCCTCCTCCTTCCTAGACCATTTTCCCTCTCAGATCTGCGCTCTATACGCGTTTTCCAACGCCCCACGCAAAGTTGTTTCGCAAAATCTTTCAATTTTCTTCACTTTGGACCGATTAAAATTTGATTTCGGAGCTTCTTTTCCCATTTTCACCACTTGAGGTAAGTTTGTCTCATTATTTGGAATATTTTCTCGGGAGTTGACTTTTGTTGACTTTGTCATTTCCCGAGAGTTGACTTTTGTTGACTTTTTCTAATTTTGGCTCATTTTGCTCATTTTTGCTCATTTTTGCAGATTTTTCGAAATGGCTGGTCATTTTCCTCAGGGCGGAGGTCCTCTAGGTGCCGGGGGTGGGCCAGACATTATGTATTTACCTCTAAGGATTCGGCCATTTATTCACGAGAGATATGACCCTCCAGCGCACATCCTTCCTCGAGCCGTTTTCTACCACTTCACCGACTTTGATGAGGGAGCACCTGTAGATCTATTACTGCGGGAGCCAGAGTCCCACCTCTCTTATCAGGCACGAGAGATATGTACTTCCTTTTTACATTTTCTGTAATGTATTCTGCATTTTTTCGTGCATTTCATGCTTTTGCTATGTATTTTTTATCTGCTCGTCCTGAACGCGTTCACACACCATACTTCTACTTATTCTAGCACACAGCTCACAGCACATTATTTTGTTAAGTTGACACGCAACTCAAGCACTCAAACTTCTGAACACACAGCTCACACTTTGATGATGAACACACAGCCCACTATTTGACGGCGAACACACAGTCCACTATTTTCTGAAATCTGAACACACAGCCCAAACTTGTTGATTACGAACACGCAGCCCACTGTTTTTGAAGTCTGAACACAGCTCAAGCACTTGATGTTAAACACACAACTCGAACTTTGAGATGAACACACAGCCCACTGTTTTGAAATTTGAACACGTAGCCTAAACTTTGATGTTGAACACACAGCTCACACTTTGATGATGAACACACTGTTTTTGAAGTCTGAACACACAGCTCAAACACTTGATGTTGAACACACAGCTCGAATTTTGAGGTGAACACACATCACACACTGGTTGAGAGTTGAACAAGCAGCACAAACTGTTGAATTTCTGAACACACAGCCCAAATACTTGATGTTGAACATACAGCTCGAATTGGTTGAGAGTTGAACACGCAGCCCAAACTGTTGAATTTCTGAACACGCAGCCTGAATTTTGAGGTGAACCCACAGCACACACTGGTTGAGAGTTTGAACGCGCAGCCCAAACTGTTGAATTTCTGAACATGCAGCCCGAATACTTTATGTTGAACACGCAGCTCATGGCATTGTATTTGATTTAATTTGCACACAGCTCACATACTTTATTTTGAAATTGAATATATGTGTTCATTCTGAATGCATGTGTCTTCCCGTATTACATGAGGATATGGATCGATCATCGCCAGGGAGTGGTACGCGGAGCTCCCAGAGGCCGTTCGCGATCTGGTTGACCAGGTAGGGTTCGGACCCTTCTATACGGGAGTATCACGTTATCCAGCGAGCAGGACCCTGAAGGGCGCCCTCGTAGAGAGATGGTGGGACACCACCAACTCCTTCCATTTCTCAGCTACCGGGGACATGACGATGACCCCGTTCGACTTTGCCGTGCTGACAGGCCTTGACGTAGGAGGCTGGCCGATCCCCTATGACGAGGATATAGGTGAGTGTGAGGCTGCCTGGATTTATTTGTTGGGAGCTCGCCCACTGGTTGACAGATCTTCGAGCCGCGTCCGGTACATTTGGTTTTCCACACAGTTCAGGGAGGCTGTGCCCGAGACTCCCGAGGAGATAGCACAGTACACTTGGGGATTTTTGATGTTCCTTTTCGGGACCACTCTGTTCTCCGATAGGGGGAACACCGTTGGACTTTATCTGCTGAGTGCTCTGGTAGACCTATCACAGGTCAGCCGGTATGACTGGGGTGGCGCCGGCCTGGCTACCCTCTACTGCTACATGAGTGTAACCTCCCACGGATGGGGGAACATAGTTGGCGGCTATTGGAGAGCCTGGGAGGTACTTTCTGCCCTCTTGATTTACATTTCTGCTTTTCATTACCTGTACACTGCACACACGGTACACTTTACATTCTGTACTTTGCATTCTTTTCTCAGTATTCTGCGTTCTCTGTATATTCTGCATTCACATTCTGCACTCGACATTCTGTATTCTGATGGATATTGCCCTGTTTTCCACAGCTATGGGTTTTCGCATACTTTCCAACACTAGCCCCGGAGCTTGAGGTGGAGGTGCCTCTCACGATTCCTTACTCACTTGTATTAGAGGGTCAGTACCGGCCGAGGGCCCGAGAGACTTTGCCCTACCTGCGGCAGTTTTTTGACACAGTGCGGACGACCGAGGTAATTCAGAACTCTCAGTTCTCCAAGTTTTCATCTTTGATTCATCTTGCACATTTATGATTTCTAATCGGCTCATGCATTGGTTATCCGCAGATCACATGGTAGCCCTGGGCGCCTTTGGGTGGAGATACCCGATTTCAGTTTGCTGGGGGATGGGCCGCTTCTCGGTACAGGATCCTATTTGAGGGGCCCGTTGGTAGGGCCTGGTTTCTGGGGGACCGCTTCATGCGCCAGACTATGGGTTACCCCGAGCAGAGTGTCCCCGCAGCACCTCCGGACGATATGCGGTCTACTGAGGGGCTCACTCCCCAGGATGTCGATAACGCCATGTTGGATACCGACATACTTCTACATTTGGAGGAGGGGGAGTACGCGACTTACCGTCATATATACTTGATGCCTCCATTGACAGGTGTCCGTACTCCCACGAGGAGGTCTGCTGGCATGCCATCATCGACCCGGGCCCGGGCTGCAGATATTCCTTCGACCAGCAGGGCCGGCACATTGAGAGGTGGGGTTGGACTGGTCCCCCCAATTCCCCTGACTTATCATCATGCCGGATGGCCAGATATCCCGACTGAGTTGACAGGATGGCGATATGGGACTTCTTACCCGATTCCGATAGAGCACCCTATGCCCGATCACCGATACATCAGTGATCCTGACTCACCACCGGTATGTTCCACTACTTTTCATTTACCACTCAGATACTTAGGCATTCATTTACTCATTGATGACTTGAGCTTGTATCTGCAGCCATCCAGGGAGTATACGGAGGGGTTACTCGGGTTAGTAGACTCACTCGAGGGCATGGTCCTGCGGAGAGAGATGCAGTTGTCCATCGTCGGTGTTCCGGTACTCTTTAGTTTTATTGCATTTATCATACTTCTGATGACATGCTGAACTTGAACATTTCACTGCATTGATTGGCTGTATGTGTAGAGCACATCTGACACACACCACATTCATGTACTGTATCTGTATACCCACTCTATGTAGTTTTCTTGCATCTGCATCTGATATATATACGTTGGCTGATGTATTCAAATTGCGCTCTTTCTTTTCAGATGCCTCCGCTACATACTGGACCACAGGCCGGGCCATCCAGGCCTTCTCGGAGAACTGGGAGAGGGGGTTCGACTCGCGGCCGAGACGGATGCAGAGCATTTGTCATAGATGAGGAGTCCAACGAGGAGGAGGAGTCTGCACATCCCCAGTCAGAGACATCCGCTGGCAGAGAGGATGACTCTGGTTCCAGTTCCGGTAGTGGAGATGATGTCGAGGAGGATTCTGAGGGCAGCGACTCCGATTTAGATGATGATGATGGTGCATAGGTTGTTCCGCAGAAGAGGACAAAGAGGGCCTCTTATTCCTGTGCTTGATAGCACTGATGCAGCTGTTCCTGCCTTATTTCCTTTTTTTACTAGTAATTGTAGCACATTGTACATTATTAGACAGTTTTATTTTCTGTAAAACTTGTACCCTTGTTGTAAAATGTTGTAACAAAGGAAGAATGATGGAATGAAACAACTTTTTGAAAAAGTGTTGCATTTTATGTTCTCAGCATCGCATCGCATTATTTTGCACAAAAATGAGATTGAATGAAAATTGAATAACGAATATTGCCAAGTCAGGTAATGAACCGACACAACAAACTAAACAACTCAACTCACTAAGAAACAACAAAACCTTAGCAAATTTACAACTCGATAAGCAAGACACAACAATGTTGGGTAAACAAAGAGTAACAACTCGATATACAAAACTCGACAACTCGACAAAACCTAACGACTCGATAAGCAAAACAACAACTCGATAAGCAAAAACAACAACTCGATAAATAGGACTTAACAACAACTCGATAAACAAATGCATTTCGGACGATCTGGGTGACGGAACGTATCCGAAACTGAGGTAAACTTGAACCTTCAACACTCCCAACGCATGGAAATGCTAGGAACTCTCTTCTAGAAGTTAGGACAAGACCAAAGCCCTGTTTCTCTCTATGGCCGACCACCTAAGGAAGCTAGCCGACCAGCTTTTTTTCATTGGTGACCGAGGGGTGGTCGGCCTACCAGAAAAGGTAGTCAGCCGACCACCTGGTTTGGCAACCACCAGTTTTTCGACACGTGTCCCCCCGAACAGTGCCTTATCCTCTTTAAAAGTTCCAGCCTCGTGGTTCATTCATTTCATCTCAGTTTTGCATCAAAATGGAGGCGTTCCTCATCCAAAATCTCACAGCTTGGATTGCTTCTCTGGATGGCTCGGAAAAGTTAAACTTTCGGGGCTTCGGCTTGAATGCACTATTCACGCTGGGCCGTACTCCGCTGCATCTTCCTTTCCTCCATTTTGGAATCTGGTAACACACGTTTTTAGCTTTAGCGAGCAAGAGATGTGTCCTACTTTCGAAGATTTCCAAGCTTGGATGGAATCCAAGCGTAATGAGGAAATCTTGCCTCAACTCCGATTTGGCCACGTCCAAGCCCTAGGACGAATGTGCGGCCTCACTTTGCATGACGCTCGATCATTGATTCACGACGGGGAGCTGGATATCCCAAGCTTGGTGCGCTGGTTTTCTGATGCCGGTGACCGCGGCGACCATCATTGGCAGGGCTATCGGCGACACGTGCTTTGCCTATACTTGCTATCTCATTTCTTGCTTGCCCCGGGCTCCGGTGGATTCAGTGTCCGGTTGATCGAGGTTGCCTAAGGTTTGAAGGAGGGCAAGAGTTGCATTGCCATGACATTGGCTGAGACATTGATGGGCTTAGATGCTTTTCATCGCCTGGAGACAGCTAGGCTTACGGGGAGCCCACTACTATTGCAGGTAATGTTTCCCACCCAATCTCGCATATGTATTGCTCACATCACTCGGCCCTCAGGCTCGGTTTTTCTCACAAAACCCTTTTCTTTCTTTTCTCTCACCGTACATCTCTCTATACTTTATTCTCTCATTTTTTATCCCTCCCCAGGTGTGGTTGATGGACAAATTATAGATTGTGGAGTCTTGCCCAGCATACTCAGCTCGCGGCTACTTTTTTCGACAACGCCTGGTTGATGCCTTGGATGAGGAGTGGTGGTACAACTGGATGTGCAGTTTGTTTACAAACCGCATCGCTTGGCGCTGCCCTTGGCTCAATCTGCCGACGATGAGTTATAACATTACCCGTCAACCTGGGATTCAATTGATTGGCATGACATACTGTGTCTTCTATTTTCCGTTCCAGTTCCGACGCCAGTTCAGACGTGATCAGACTTGTTCACCAGAGGGGATAGAGTACCCTGCTGCATTCCTAGCCCGAGGCGCACAGCTTGCCCGGTATGCCACAGCATGGAGGACTAGAGAGCTCCTGGCCCCGCTCCCACTTTCAGTTGCACTTTGTCTGATGAGTGCTTGGATTGGCTCAATGAAAAGGCACAGGAAGGGCCCACTTTGGCATCAGAGGCTTCGACCAGCTCTGGGAGGGAGCGCAGGAACACCTGACTTATCTATGCCCCGAATTTATTGCTTTATTAGTACTTTCAAGTTTTCTTTATGAATGTAATAAAAAGCAACTTCAATTTGTATGCAAGAGCAAGAGAACTCTGTATTAAAATCAATGAAATTGAAGGTTGTAGGCACTGAAAATTTTTCACTTTGGTCCAAAAATGGTCTAAGTTGTAAAAAGATTAATTTTGAACGAAGTCAACTTTTATTAAAACTTTTTCAAAACCATTTTTGATATGGATCAGAACTGGACACGCTTGAAATCTGTCACTGAGATGCACAACCTCGGATCCTAGCAATTGGAAAGTTGCCCCTAGTCTGAATAGTACTACGGCACTGCACAGCAACGGAAAGTTGCCCCTAGTCTGAAAAGCACTACACCGGAGATCATAACCGAACTCTTGAATGCTGAATAGACAAAGATGGCCAAGATAATCAAATGGACAAAGTTGATCGGGGAAAAGTTTATGGCTGAACTTCAGGATGAAGTTGCCTACGTATCCCAAAGATAGGAATCAAGCGTTACGTAGTTCAGGCTCGAGTTCACTCGTGTATTTTCATTCTCCTTTTATGCTCTAACTTTTGCCAAAGCCTCCCTTTGCGGGTTTTCAACCTTGCGAGCTCAGTTTTTATAATTTCAAATTTTTTTTGTGCTCTGACTTTTGCCTAGGTCGCCCTCTTGGGTTTTCTGTCTAGCAAGCCTCTCAGGGGTAATATTTCTTCAACTTGTCCATGTTGATCGGCTGTGAGAACTCTAGGCCATCTAAGTCCATCAAAACCACAGCTCCACCTGACTAGATAAACTTGATGATGTAAGGGCCAGTCCAATTGGGTCTGAACTTGCCCCTAGGGTCGTGGATAGGAGCTCGGTTGTCCTTGAGCACCAAATCTCCCTCTTTCAAATTCCTGGACTTAACTTTCTTGTTGAAAGCCCTGGCAATTCTACGCTGATAACCTTGAACATGGTACAGTGCTTTCAGTCTTCTCTCATAAAAAAACATGAGTTCTTCAAATCTGCTCTGCTGCCAATTTGCTTCGGCTATTTGACACTCAGCCAACACTCGTAAAGACGAAACCTCAATGTCGAAAGGTAAAACGACCTCCATCCTATAAACTAATGAATACGGAGTCACCCCAGTAGAAGTTCAAATTGACGTCCGGTAACCCCACAGAGCAAACGGCAGCTTATCTGGCCAATCCCGATAGGTTTCCACCATCTTCTGCAGTATGTGCTTGATTTTCTTGTTGGCAGCCTCAACCGCTCCATTGGTTTATGGCCGGTATGAAAAGCCACGTTGTATTTCTCCAACAAGTCAATCACTTCCTTTTTGAAGTGTGAACCATTATCTGAAATGACCTCGTTTGGGACCCCATAACGACAGATGATGTTGTTTTTGATAAACTTTGCAACGTACGACGCCTTCAACACCGCATAAGATTGGGCCTCAACCCACTTCGTGAAATAATCTATCGTGACTAGGATGAACTTATGCCCATTCGACCCCTTTGGAGTGACAGCCCCGATCACATCGATTCCCCAAACTGAAAATGGCCATGGCGAAGTCATATTGTACAGCTTCGACGGCAGAATGTTCATGTGGTTTGCATAGATCTGACACTTGTGGCATCGCCGAACAAAGCCAATACAATCCTCCTCCATGGTGGACCAATAATAACCTCGTCTGAGGATCTTTCGCACTAGCATTACCCCATTCATATGCGTACCGCATTCCCCTCCATGAATGGCCTCCATCAGACGTTTTGATTCTTCAGCTTTAACGCACAGCTTATGCATTCCCAGATGACCTCTCTTATACAATTTTCCTCCGCAGATGATGAACTGAATGACCATTCTTCTGATTGCCCTTTTATCCTTGGCATTTACCCCTGGTGGATATGCTTCCTTCTCCAAGAAATTCCAAATATCGTAATACCAGGGGTTCTCATCTTGAACCTCATCTATAGTAGCAATCGACTGGTAAGCTGGCACAAATTTCTAGTCGATAATGACTGGATGCATTCGGACTCCAAACGGGATGTCTATCATGGAAGATAGAGTTGCTAGTGAATCTGCGAACCTGTTGTTTTCTCTTAGTAGATGAGTGAAGTTTAGCTTCTCAAACCGAGGAATCAGCAGGTCCAAGGTCTGGTGATACATAATTATCTTTTCTTC